TCGTGTGATGGATTAACCCTAACAATATAGTAAAAAGCCAAAATACTGATCAATGCGGCTATCATCCCTGTTATGATTTCATTAAAAAAAAAAACAGAATAACGACTACTTTCAAGTAGTAGCTTACTGATAAATCAAATCTTAAAACAATATCCCATGTCATCATAGAGTTAATCCATCACACCATAGTTTCGTTTCACTCACACTTATTGCGCAGAACGCTTCCACTTGCACTCACAAGCAGCATAAATAAGTGACAAACGGTACCGACGAGACCTCCTTACATAATTGCTTTATGGACGCGACCCGAAGAGAGGGAACGCGACAGCTCTCACCAAGTGGCAGCACTCAAATTGATTGAAAAACCATCAATGCCACTATCGAACTCATAGATGCCGGTGTAAGGGATATCGATCTTTCGACAGCCCTTCTATTAGAATTATTTCTTTCTAATTTACGAACTTTCTTGCGATGAGAGATACTTCAGACAAAATGATGTCTTCCAAAACAAGGAGACATCACGCCAAAACAATTGTTTCTGAAACGTGGAACATTCGATCATTTCTGCTCCCAGCTCAACTGGAAAGCCGACTGGTCGCCAATATTTCACATGTTTTGACTGCAGACGTTACCCATAAGGCTGTCTCTATTTTTGCAGCTAGTTGGCTAGGCGCTAGCCAAGTCATAACAAGTCATAGCCAAGCACAATAATACAGTTTTTATACCCGGTACTCGAAGAGTAAATAGGGTATATTGTATTTGAGCACAAAGTGAATGTATGTAACACACAGAAGGAAGCGTTTCCGACCCCATAAAGTATATATATTCTTGATCAACTTCAATAGCCGAGTCGATTGAGCCATCACACCCTGTCCCGCAGCTTTTGTTGTTATTTTTTCACATTCTCTCATTTACACTCTGTTTCTGCTTCACTCGGCCTCTGCCGTCCCTCTGCCGACTTTTTGTTTTTTTTTTTTGTGTGCGGGCGCTGCCTCTGCCGGCGAGTCTGCAGTGTTGGTGTAAGAAGTGTTGTAGATGTAGATGACAGATGAAGAAAAAATTTACAAATGTACAAATTTGAAAAATAACTGCTTGGGTACAGATGTAGTACTGAGTGCCGGGTATAAAAGTTGTGACGCGTAAGAAGCTTCTCTAAGAAGGTCCCTTCTCGTTTTTTTGTGTACGGGCGCTGCCTCTGCCTCTGCCGCGAGTCTGCAGTGTGTGGGTCAAGGGAAGGGCGGCGAGCTAAAGGAGCATGTTGGTGTGAGAAGTGTTGTAGATGTAGATGACAGACGAAGAAACAATTTAAAATTTGACAAAACACCGCTAAGGTGCAGAAGTAGTACTGAGTGCCGGGTATAAAAGTTGTGACGCGTAAGAAGCGTCTCACACGTCGCTTCTCGTTTGTACAGTATTTATTATTTCGTTTTATGATTGGCCATTGTATTTAACTGCAGAAACTAGTCAAACACGCCTGAATTTGGAAACATTTTTTGTATTTGAATTTGATGTTTGGAAATTAATGTATGTATGTAAATATGTATGTATGACACTTGATTAAATATTATCTAGTCAAAATTCGTTCGCTATGGCTACCGACCACCTCAAATGCATCCTTCCATCATTAGGTGCCAGCACTGCAGGCAAGAGCGTCATATGGTCTACTGATTCTTGGCGAGGCGACGAAGTGCGCGATTACGAGTGCCCAAAATATTCTTTAGAACCAAACTGCGGGCGAACTGATCTCCGAAGACAGCTTCTGTGAAGTGGATAACCAACTGGAGAAGAGCATGGGGTAAATATCCAGCGGTCTGTTTTGCAATACCGAGAGTTGAGAGTGCCGACTTCACATAGGTTTCAGGTGACGGCGCAAACACGCTGGGCTTACGAATTTTGGACATATTAGTGGCCACGAAGCCCGGCTGGACACTCTGTATGAGAATGCCTTGCTCCTTGTACTCCGTCTGCAGATCATCGCTAAACTTGTTGACAAAAGCCTTGCGAAAGGATGAGATAAGGTAAGGTACGGGAATAAGGGCTTTGTTCTTCATCACCGTGCACTAACCTTGGTAGCACTGTAAACACTCAGCAGGGGATTCGGAATAACGCCGGCAGTGGACGAAATGTTTATGATGACTCCCTTACGCTTGGTAATCATTCCAGCCAAGAACAATGCGCTCATATGAGTTACCGAGTGTACGTTAGCAGCCACAATATTGTTCAAAAACATCGGATCCGCATTGTAGCAGTCCAAAAAGTATTCGGGATGACTGTAGCTGATTCCTACATTGTTCACCAGCACTCCGACGTCCAGGCCGGTGGTTTTCGCGCGTATCTTCTTATATATCTCAGCACCGCCCGTGAAGTCCACATCAATGACACGCACATCCACTCCAAATTCATCGCCTGAAAGTATGCCACAACCAGAGATTAGCTTATAACTATGAATGTATAGTGTAAAGGAACTCTTAAGCTACGTTCACCTATTTCCTTGGCAACGTCGTTCAATTTACTCAAGGATCGACTGATTAGCACCAGTTTAAGTCCCTTGCGAGCAAGCTGAAAATAACAAAAAATAGTTTTTAAATATCCTATAAACGCTTGATGTTTTCTGGAAACGTAGGCTATTGGTTCAGAACCATAAATTCCCCCAGAAATTTCAGTCGGATATGAAGAGGAAAAACTATTGTTCTTGCGAAGAAATTTGAAGTGAACATTGAACAATTTTCTGCCTCTGTAGTCAAGACGGTGTTCCAAGACAGCGTTAACCAGGTAAAGCCCAAAGGGGAATACGTGCGCGAAAGTCACTATGTATTCGTCTGGTCGATCGTTTAAAGTGGGTAATAAATACAGATGGGAGCCGCCCTATTTAAAAAAAAAAATGAGCCGCGACCGCACTTGACCAGAATAAACAAAAATGACTGTGCGGAGAGGAGGCAGCAAATGTAGCGAACTGTTGTTAAGTCAATACAATTAGGGAACTCTGGACGGAAGGGCTGAGTGGCTGGTGTGACTGAAGATCAATTCTAAAGTGTAGATTCACTCAGGCCACTGCATTTTCGCAAGCAATGTCCAAGTCATTCCCGCTTAATGGCAATACTATGATTGCATTTTTGCGCGCTTCCCAATTGTCAAGTCATAGTTGAATGGACTTTGATTGGGGCCAGTGAGTTGTACTATCCATGACAGTTTACATACCTCCTTGGCGTAGGCTTTGCCAATTCCATCGGTAGACCCGGTAACAACTGAAATTTATGGAAATTAGTTTAGGTTATATTCCTTATCAGCGGTCGCCAAGCTCATTATCGAACGCAACATTTTCACTCACCTGCCCATTCGCCCATTTTGGAGAGGTTTACGGTGGATCCAAAGACCTTCGGTCCCACCACGTTAGAATATATCCATGGCAAGACCTTGCGGAAGAACTGAAAGCCGACAATGCCGATGGCCAAGCCACCAAGCATGCTCAGTACATGTGAATTCTCCATTTTCTTAATCTTTCCTTTAATCTCTTGGGACACAATACCCGAAACTCAACTCGAAATGTCTGATGCCGTCTGGTTTCTGATTTTTCGATTTCTATTTTCTGTTCGTCGAACTGCAACGTCAAAATTCTTACGCTGCTACCGCAACCTCTGCTTCTAGAACCTTTGCACATACATACATACATGCAAATGTACAAACATATGTCTGTACGTGTGTCTATCTCTCGCCGATGGCTCGTTGGTGTCGCAGTACCGCACTCCCTTTTTGCTGCCTGTCTGGCTTCACCACGTAGAATTCAAATTTTTTATTTTCAGGCTAGGTTTTTCTGATTAATATTCAAATCATTTTGTTGACGTTGACCCAAACAGAAAAATAAACAGAAAAGAAATGAAAAAGTGATTCAATGAAAATTGTAAGCGGCACGAAAACGAATGAACGGTTCTTCCTCTGTGACCCTATCGATGTCGGCTGTGTGTGTGCGCATGTGTCTATGTGTAACGTCGCGCGACTTATGCATGTCAGTATGTACATATGTGGCCCGTGCTCTCAGTCCTCCCCATCGCACCACCGCTGAATAGATAAGGGCGGCACATGTGCGAATCGTGCAGTCAAAAATTGTTCACCTAAGCTGATTTGACTTATTGCAATCTTTTTTCGTCGTTAAAAAAGCTATTAAATCTGTAGAAGTCAGGGTATTTCTTCGCATATGATAACTAAAATTACGAGAACAATGGTGGTCGCTTTTGCTATTTATACTGTCCCTGTTAATATCTCAATAAGTAAATGGATTACTAAACAGGGAGAATGCTAGGAACTGAAACCCAGCCCGTTGTGTGGGAATACTTCAGAAAGCTACTGTGCTGCTCTCCCATTTATTTAATTCACGCTCACCAACACACCCATAACAGCACATGCGCAGGAAGAGCATGCTCTCGATAAGCTAAACATTGAAATTAGTTTCAGAAACATGAAAATACGCCTAAATTTCGTTCAATTTATAACATGGATTTTACAGGTTTGGGTGCATTGATGTTCTTTACGTACTTTGACCGCGAAAACAAAAACTCCATATAGATATCTCTGTGAGGACATCTTATCTGTCGGCTTATCGATACATATCGCTTTTTAAACTGATGCTCAAATAATTATTTTTGAATTAACTGTTAAACATGTAAACAACTTATTACTGATGTTAACTTGCATCTTATCTTGAAAAAATGGAAATATAAAAAACTATAGTACCGCAGGATTTATGGGAGGGAGAAGAAAGTTCACGTTCCCGACCTGCGTATAACCCGCCTTGAGTTTAGGTTTGCTGAATCTTGAATAAGTACATATGTACATATAAGTACTATATATATATGACAGAAGATTTACTTCTGACTATGTTTTGAATACAAATACAAATTCACGAATAGGTTATACTTATACTAGATCATTTTGGATCAAATCTTTGTATTGTACGAATGTATGTATTTAAGAAGGTTTTTTGTCGTATATGAACATACATACGTAGGTTTCTGTTAATGTCGATGGAGTATGTGTACCGAAAGAGCAAAATGCTGCGGATGCTGTCCATGCGCAGAGCCTGCCCTGACCTACATTCCAATTTATTGGTCATCTAAGGCAGCCACAGCCAAAGGCGCTTGCGAAAAAATAAATACACACGCAACTTAAGAAGGTTAATAATCATTTACTAGCCTGTATTTTTATACAAATAAATTAAAAATTAATGAAAAACTGTATACTGCTCAAGAAAATTTAGCAAAATCGACGTACACGTAACATCTGCTGCGCAATGCCTTAACTTAATGCTTAATCGATAAACATCAAGCAAGAAACGGAACCGAAACAAATTGGTAAGTAAATTTTGCACTGTCTCTGCCGTGACGTGACTGTGCTGACGCATAGATAACGATGAAGCTGTCCGGACTGGCACTAACGGATGCAGTTGGTTCAAAATAGAATCGGTTACAGTCAAGAAAATTCGTATGTGCATATCGTGCGGTGAGTGGAGGAAGCGTTACGTTTGAGTGAAATTGTCATATGGCCCTCTTTGCAGTGATGAGATCTAGATTATTTTGGATATTTGCAATTATATACTCATCACTACATAACATTGGGTCGGGATCTACTTCGACTACATGTAAGTGATGACCTGAGCGTACTTAATTGTACCTTTTGTTAAATTCTTTATATGATTAAATGTAGTGAAGCGTCCCAGAGCTGGGGATCCCTTCGACACCTTCCCGAAGAACTTCTGGCAGGAGTTCTCGTCGCCGTTTACAGACACGCCGGAAGATGAGGAGCTGGAGGTCACCGAGACTACCACGCACGAGCCGTTCCCTTTCTTTGCTGATCCCTATACGACGGTTAATATAAGCACCCAGCTCTCCTCGAACGTGTATCTGCACTGCCGCGTCAACGACCTACAGGGCAAGACGGTGTCATGGATGCGGCGTAGAGGCGAGGACCTCACCCTGATAACTTTCGGCCAGCACACATATAGCGGCGACTCTCGCTACTCGCTCGAGTTTGAGGATCCCAACGACTGGAAGCTTCTCATCCAGTTTGCCAATGAGCGCGATGAGGGTCCCTACGAGTGTCAGGTCTCGTCGCATCCTCCCTTGGTGCTCCTCGTATATCTAACTATAATTGGTAAGCAACTTCCGGGCCAAAGCTCTTCGGAGTACTAGATAACTCTCTCTACAAACTTCTTAACTCATTTGCAGTTCCTCATGTGGAAATTCTGGACGAGAGAGGATCGGCCACACCGGAGAAGTACTACAAGGCAGGCAGCACCATCGAGCTGCAGTGTGTCATCTCCAAAATTCCACATCCATCTTCCTACATCACCTGGCGACACGGACCCCGTCTGCTCAACTATGACACCAGTCGGGGTGGCATCAGGTACTACTTAAGAGTTTAGTAGTTCATCTGGTAAACTGTGTTCTTACTTTTGCGTCAACCATTGCACTAGAGGTTTCTACTGTATTACACATGATTATGAACATACAGTGCTATAGCTGCTCATACATACATATTTAAATACATGCATACATATGTATACAAATGAACACGGATCCTTCACATTGTTTTTACAGTGTAAAAACGGATATGCTGCCTGGACGTGCTCTGAGTCGCCTATACATTGCCAATGCGAATCGACAAGATACCGGGAACTACACCTGTATGCTGGGCAACGAAATTACGGAGACGGTTGTAGTACATGTGCTTAATGGTAAGTCGCGTTCCGGAATAGTGTGAGAGCATATTTCAATATATTATTTATATCTGCAATGCAGGTGAGGAGCCAGCCGCAATGCAGCACGCGAACGGGACGCGATACAGTGCCAAGCCCACGACTATGGTTGTGTTTTTTCTATTGTACGTATACGCGTGTGTTTATGGGAGGGCGGTGGCCATAGGTCACCCGTTGGGGCGATGACGATATAGTGGGATCTGTAAGGTAAAAGCAGAGGAAAATGCATACACCAGAAAATCTTGTCCAGAATTGCATTTTGACTTACTCTAATCACGGGTTGTTTAATATTCGATACATAGAATAAACTGAATACATAGTAGACCTAAGTCGCAAATCGGAAAACGAATGATAAACATACAAACAAACAATGTGAGAACTAGTATGTATGTATGAATTTACATAAATTATACTATAAGGGCGTACGCGAACACATACATTGTATATTGTATGTAGAACATGAAATGGATTTTGAACATTTTAAAGCATAATCGTCAAACTGTCATAATCGAATCGTACTACAAAGGCCGTGTTTATGTTGGCTACATATTAATCATATTAATATATATGTACATATGTACATGTGTATGTATGTATGTACATACATATATATGTCGACAGAATCCAGACAAGCATTTTCACTTTTAATTAATTACCCTTCAAGAGGCTGTCCCATTATGCTTCTAATACGGTTCTAGTCCAAGCCCTTGGGAACCATGGTTTAAGCTTCATGAAATCAAACAGCATATCAGTTGGGATCATTTTAATCATAGTTAGTACACTGTGCTGCAGCCGTTTCTAACTTTACACGAAACGAAAATTCGGTTGCAGACCTGTTTAAGTAGCTCTCGTCTTTTGATATTGGAATATTCTGCAATAATCGTTTTTAAAAATTCGAATAACATGATAGAGGACTTCGGACGCTTCCTGAAATCAATGAAAATTGTGGAGTTTTATGTTTACAGCATTGACAATCTGTTTTTTTTTTCAAATATTGTATTAAATATTTTAAAGGCAGATCATCAAATAGAATGCAACTCTCGCAAAACTTCGATTTATCATTGAGTAAAAGACACAGAGATCTTGAAACCATCTCAGAAATATGATAGGTTCTTGAAATGTCTTCAACGAAAAAAGGAAAAAAAAAACGTTTCCCATCTAAAAAGTATACAAAACAGATTAAGAAAATGTTTTCCTTAAAGGATATACTCTGTGACCCATATTTATGAGGATAGGAGAAACACGATGCAGAGAAAGAGAGCGAGATAAAATTAAAATACACATACATAGTTTTTGAGTATTAACCAGGTATTATAATTAAGAAAGTCAGCATGGATTGTTTTTTTTCGTGTTAAACAGATTGAAAAGTTTGGATTTTTCGGCACTGTAATCAATAGATGTCTGCTTTTTCAATGAATAGTACGGGCTTTTCGGTTTTCGATCTCTAATTTAGTTGCTATTTTCATGTGCTGGACGAACCAATCGATAACTGAGCTGCAGAGCAGTAATTCTAGCTGAAATGTTTAAATATGGGTGTTTATGTACCTGCGTGACATTAACCTCGATCGTATGTTCATTTTTTCGTCGAGAACATTCAAATAAAGTTAGCACAGAATTGAAGGTGTGTCGATCGATAAAAGTTGTTACAAAAATCAACAAAGAAGCTTAGGAAATGTTTAACGTTAACAAAACTGTATCATTCAAAATGGATACATATCGTTTAATTATTGTTAATTCGGTTGCGGAACCAATGACCATTTGGACACAAAAAAAAGAAAAATAATATGTATGTATGTAACTGTATAATTATGTATATTTGAGTCTTTTAAATGAAGGATGGATTAAAATTCTCACAAAACTCCGACCAATGGGTAGAATGTTAAATTTTTGTTTTATTAAAAACGGTCCCATAATAAACAAACCCAAAAATAATACATATACATACATATAACAGAGTAAAATAAATAAAACAAGATCAAGGAAAAGACGAAAGAATGAATATTTTCAGCTTTGCTTTCAGTTTAGGGTTATGGTTAGGAAAATATGATTTTCAATCATACATGCATAGAAGTAATCACTGCATTTGTTCAAGTGTACCTTCTCTATTTGTTGAGTTAGCTTTCACAAATCCACACCTTTCTTAATATGAACTATTAAAATATTCAAAATGTCCATGAGAATTTAAAGTTCCATTCTCTTAAGCTCCCAAGTCCTTGAAGATTTGAAGAGCTCATATTAGAATTGTTGATATATGTATTGTACATACACATGTACATCTTAACGTCTTTACAAGTGCATAGGGGAAGTCAATATTCATGTCAGAAAAAAAAATATATAAAGACTTATGAGCTTAAATGCCGACTGACTTGACTGACTAATTTCAATTGTCTTGTGTAGATACTATTGTAAATTAATCCATTTGATCCCAACTAAACCCAAACCCAGTCCAACCGTCGCCGCCAGTACACCGTTTCCATGATCCGTGTGCCCTTAAGTATCCAAATAATATATATTTAAAAGAAAAAATGTTGGAGTGAGATAACGAAACAATACTTAGAGACTAAAGAAAGTGAAGAGGCGAAATTTTTAGAAAGATTTTGGTTAAATAGTTATATTTATTAAATAATAACTTTAATATTTAATTATTACTAAACTACACAGATAATGTATAGTTTCGTCACCGGACCGCAAAAAAAACGAACAAAAAATATAAACAAATGCAAAATTGTAAAAAATAAATTTGTTTTTCATATTAAAAAAATTTAACATTCATTCAATATTGTTTTTATTATAGTAGAGCATTTCAACATCCACTGCATACGCATATATGTATGTATAAGTATTTACATAAACACGCATTATCGGAAACGAAACTCGATCGAACATCTTTATAAATAACCGCTAAGAGTCCATACCGTAAACTTAAATAACATGTTTTCTAGCCATCGTATCCAACATCAGCATCTGTGTATATATTGACGGGCTGAGCAGCCAGGACATTGTCGGTCTCCATCATTTCAACATCGCGGCAGGTGGCTGCCTGAAGTTCTCTTCTAGCATCGGGCGTTATCTTGGGATGAGTTTTTTTCCTGCAATCGGAAAATATAAAATAGTCATGCTGGTTCGAAAAAAGTGAAATGTTCTGAAATGACTGACTTTAAGAGTTGAAGTAGGGCATCCCTCTGCTCAGAAGATATATCGTTCTTGTAGCGCTGGGCAAATGTTAGCAGACTTTGATGCCATAGCACTGGGAGCTCGCGCTTATCGTTTTCGAATCTATTTCAAAACGGGCAGAACGTAAATGATATATTTTATGTTGAAAAGTTATAAGTGGCCATTGAAATTACCTTAGGAAGTGAAATACAGCCGCATCGACCACTCGATAGGGTAGGGCGTAGCGCTTGTCGAGGAAGAAGCGTATGAATATGGAGTTGGCACCAGAGTAGCTCATTTCACAAATCTTCAGCAGGCAGGCGGACGAGTGAAGGACGGGTATGGAGTTGTGAGCCACAACGCTACCAAAGATGATGGCCTCGCGCAGAGTGCAATCGCCAGACTCCAGCAAGGGCAAAATGATGCCTTTCATGAACGCGGCCGGCTTGAACAGAGCCCGCTTGAGGGCATTGTAGAGGTGCATGTTCAGCTTCTTGTACTCGCAAAGATCATCGCGTACACGAGGCAACAGAACCAGGTTGTAGAAACGCTGGGCCATTGCTTGCGACAAGACAGAGCAAAAGATGCGAGTACCCTGGAACATGGCAGCTGCACTCCAGTTGTGTGGCTCCGTGATAAATAGGATCTGCTCCCAGTTTCTTAGCTTGGGGATGATTTTGAACGCTTTTGGAATTTTGCCACTGCGGTATCGTTTCAAGACGTCCCTGACACCCTCGTACATCTCCTTTACCTTGGGCTCAATCTCTTCGATTTTTAGCGAACCTGCGTCGGAGATTTTGTTGTGTATATCAGCTTCCTTTTCTTGGATTTTCTGCGCGATTATTTCGGACAGTTGGAGGTTGCGCCTAACATCCTTTGCCGGGTTCTGGAAGCGTTCAAATGCGGCAACATCGTCCTCATCCATATCCATATTGACCATGAGCTCGGCCTCGTTGACCTCCTCGTTTTCATTTTCTTGGCCATCATCTAAGCAGATACGAGACTATTCTGTTAGTATGTTTCGTTTAACATAAAACGTTTATCCTCAGACTTACTCAGACTGAAGTTTACTTTCTTAACAGTCACCAAGCTGGGAAAGTTCTCCTCGTTTAATTCCAACTGCTGTTTCTTAGCAGCCGCCAAAATCTTTTGGCTGCTCTTGGCATCTATGTTCTGCAATATGAGGGATTCGCTAGAATTCCTGAAGAATGGTACATAATTTAAAACCATACCGATGTGTCCTCGTCACGTAAATTGAACGTGCTTTTGGTTTTTGCCTTCGCAACCTTTCCTTCGATTATCTGTTTTTCCAAGCTCACATTTTTAATTATGGCCACATTGGCCTTCTTCGGCTTGCCCATTTTGCACAAATTTGGATAACAATATAGAAATGACAATACACGTGCTGCTAACCATTGAAAACAACAACAAAAGTTTGGTATGGAGAGTGACCACGAAATAATCGATAAAATATACCGTCAAAGCCTCGAAAATATACTCTTTTATTTTCAAAATAAGAGCCTAGTACTCAGATCGAAAAAAGGGGACGCTAGAAAAATCAGGGATGATATTCGTATGGAACCGATAAGGAATGTTGTCCCAGGCAGTACCACTAACCAAATAGTATAGACGGACAGACAGACATGGCTCAATCGACTGTGCTATTGATGCTGATCAAATATATATATACGTTCTGGGGTCGGAAACGTTTCCTTTTTTGCGTTACATTTATTCACTTTGTGCACAAATACAATATACACTATTTAATCTTCGAGTACCGGGTATAAAAAACTGAGCCAACTATTTTTGGTTCGACTTTTTGTTTCTTACGTTGACAAAATCCACAGATTCTTATCGATATATCGATACGAAGTGCGTGTGTGGACTGAGGCACTAACCAAATAGTATGGTAGATTGTCAATTTAAAGGAAGCGAAACGTCACCGCAGAATGAGCGTCGCGAAGTCCCAGGCCTCTACCAACGTCGCAGCTACAAGTATTAGTGCGTGTAGAACACGCAGCTAGAAGTCCCAGCTACATTTCTATAAGTGCGTGTAGAGCACGCAGCCAGGAGTCCCAGCTACATTTGTATAAGTGCGTGTAGCCAATGATTTTTTAGCGCTCCAAACCGGTTCTGTCCTGATTCACACGGACACTGCAAGTTATGTATGTGTTGGTGCGCTGACTTTCTGAACTGTGATGGAACGAAAATTTGTTTTGATGATTTGATTTTGTTTTCGGGACTTGTCGTATGAACCTGACCTACCGCAACATGTGCAGAATGAGGGGTGGGGATTGGTGGCCGGACCTTTGCGGGTTGGAAAAAATAAATATACCAATAAAAGTTGTTATTGTATTTGAATGCTGTAATTGTTTATATGCAGATTTTATACTGCTTTATTCAAAATTGTATGCATATT